TTTCCGTACATGAAGTTGAAAAAGCAGTCACTGGTGTTCTCAGACTTGCAGTATTATAGCAGACTATTTCCACAAGTACTGTGTAAACTATAAAACTGATGCATTTATTTCCTCCATGTCTTTACACAAAAAAAAATTAGAATAAAGCCAAGAAAACAATAATTAAAATTGATTCCTATGAAATCTGATATTGTTTAACTGAATCTTTTCCAGTTATTTCTGCTGAAATGTTATAAAACAGAGAGATTTGTAAATACAAAGTAGAGAGAAAAATATTTAAAATATTTAAAGCAGACCCTTTCTTCTGGATGAAGTTTTTTGGTTTTGGGAGGAATGATTTTTGGTAACTTTGCAAATACCTCAGATACCACTCACATTCTTAAAATACATAACCATTACATTCAATGGTAGCAACATTATGCATAGTATCTATATGTCCAAATTACTTTTCACCTTTTTAAACATGACCTGGCAGAAGGGGACCATTTCCATCTGACACTATAAGCAAAAATATTGTTCTACTTAAATACTTATTTCTATTAAAAAAAAAAAAAAAAAAAAGAAAAGAAAAAAAAAAAGAAAATTGGTTTCATTCCAGTTCCTGGAAGGTGAGATTTTACATTGCAGCCTCACATTTGGCATGGGCTGGCATATTTGTTGGCACAAACTCAAGGTTTAATGAGGCTTAAGAGAGTTTTACAGCCTCTGTAATCAGAGGCTAACACTGAGCTTGCTGCTAGATGTACACAATGTGTGTGATTTGTGCACCCTACACCCCAGGAGAATGTAAAATGTAAAATAAAACAACATTGTATTGCTGATTTCCACATCACTAGGGCTGCATAAAATCCATGCCAATTTGGGCAGCAGAGGTTCCCTGGGGAGATGCATCCCATCTTCCTGGAAAGCTGAGTTTGTGCCCATCTCTGGTGCTGTGTGTGAATGGATTGCTGTGCTTCACTCCCTGCTTGTGTCTGAAGCACAGACACCAAATCTCTGCTTTTGCTCTCAACTTCCCCATAAACAGCCTTCTGAGACTGAATCCTTATGCCAGCAGGAAAGAGGAGGAAAGCATATTATTTCTTGCACTCTCCCACAGGGGATCCTAAATTAAAAGCCTGACAGACCATCCTGGGCTTGCTGAAAGAAGCCCTGCTAGGCTGGAAGTGCAGGGCTGGTGGAGGGCAGGCATGACTGCATGCGGCGTCTCACGTGCCGTGGTTTATCCACAGTTTATCAGTGGATTAATTCAGTGCTTTGAACTTAGGCTAGGGATGCTTGCATGCCAGGGCTGGAGCTTATCAAACCCTGCAACATAAAGATAATTCTTGATTATGTTGAAATCATTCTTGGTTATGTAGGGCGTTCAGTAATAAGTGGTTATGTGAGTCTGCAAAAAGGAAGTTACATTTTGGGGAGGTCCTGCTAAAAATTGCAATAATTTCAGTAACAAATGCATCAAGCATCCTTATAAGATGTCAACCAAGGAAGTCACTTAGGGTCTTGCCTCTACATATTAGAGATTATATTCCTTAGTCTTGAAGAGTCAGGCTGTTTTCATCATTGTGCTTCCAGTGAATTTGAATTAAGGAGTGATGGAAGTTTGAGACTGAGTGATTAAATAAGACATTCAGAGGACTACCTGATGGATCTAGCTCATTTATCCTTATGCAGGCTGACAATTTGGCTATAATAGGCTGTGTAAGAAAATAACTATACCTCCCTGGATACCCTGTTTCTAATAGCTGAAATTGTTTTGTTTTGGTGAGACTAGTTTGGTTTGTTACAAAGGCTTTTGTGATGTCAGCAATAGATATTCCACAAATATTTTGTTATTTCTTCTGTGAAAACATAGCTTTTTTTTTTTTTTTTAATGTTTGTGGTGGATTAGAAAGATAATTAAAGAGTAGGACTTAAACTGTCTAATTGTCATTCAGCTGTGTGCAGAGAAAACTCCCAGTCATTGGGATCTCCAAAATGTGCAGTTCAATAGTAAGCATAATCTGGAAAGAGAATTCACTGCAGCTTTTGTTTCTTTGTTAAAGCACCCTGTCCTCTAAGATCAGATTTCTTACAGTAGGGCTCAAGCTGGTATTGGTTTTGTCCCTGAAGAAAGGCAAAATTCACAACTGATGATGGAAAACTACGAGCAAAGATTATTTTTGTATCGTTAAGGATAAAAGTTACTTGTATATTGTTTTATTGTCAAATAAAATTTTTAATATTTAGAGAGCTGTCTGTAGCATCATTCTCTATATAGGTTTTTCTACTTTCAATGTTAAGTTCTCAAAGCATGGAACAGAATTGCTCTGAATGTTAGTAATGGTCTACTTCATTTTTCCCAAAATCTTTTGTTTGAGAGAGATGAAAGGGAATATGAAAGATCATACAGCATCTTTGCAGCCACTGTTTTCTCCAAGCAACAACAACTAAATATTAAATCTTTTTAAAAAAGCAAATTTTCTTGGATGATTGTGTGGTAAATTTTGTTAAATGAAAATAAAATTTGATTAGTTATAAATTCCCTCCATACTTTCTTGAGTAGCCCACAGAGTGTAATAATTGAGTAGCCCACAGAGTGTAAGCTTCAGCCTTGAAAGAAATAAAACTAATAAATCAGTGTGAGAGTATTTGTTTCACAGCTTTCCTTCCTCTTTTGGATGGTGTTGAGTTTCCATAGTCCAGTAACCTGGCATAAGGTGTTCTTTGCATCAGCAGCTTGATGGAGGCAGATCATTTTTCAGGAGCCTTGGAAAGAATAGTTCCATTTCAAAGAGGTTAGAATTCCAAGAAAATAATGGACTTTGATGAATGGAACTTGTGGAAATCTGTTGCTCTCTTTGTCTCTTGTTTGAAAGCAATCATGATCATGATGACCTTTTACATCAGCCAAGGTGTTCTCATTGTCAGCACTGTCAGTAAGTGGGGCAGCCAGGAGGGACATTCTGCTGTGCAATCCCTGTGCTCACATTGACCCTGTGCTGGGTGGGAAACCCTCCCAGATTATCTGTTCTTTCCTGGTATATCAGATGGACAGTCAGGAGAAGGTGCAGTTTCACCTTACAGCTCCCAGGTGTTATGGTAAAGTTAATAATGCCCCAGGAAAAGGGATGAGTGCCTGAGCCTGGTTGTGAGAATTTCAGAGGCCAATTTTCAAATGGCACTGTGCTGGTGAGATTGCTGGGACAATCCTAGCTAAAAGCTTACTGGGAGGAGTTTTTTAAAGTGAAAAAAACCAGTTGATTTCTCAAGCACTAAAAGAAGCTTTCTGAAAGTACTGTGAACAATTTTCATATATATTTAACAAGTTCTTTTTCAGTTTTTTAGGCACAGATTGTAAATCTTGATTGTATGTTTATCTTTTGTCAAGGCACAGGAAAAATACTATTTGTTTTTGGGTTTTTCTATATTACCATAAATAAGTGCATGTAGGAAACTCAGCTCCTGAAAACTGTCTCACATCTAAATTAATCAGAACACAATTATATTTCAGTAACTGGAGATATTTTTCATCTTCCTATGAAACTAGTTAACAATGATAAAAAACTAATTGGAGTTATGTATCATATATTTATCAATACAAATTATATTCTGATAAGTGTTCTTTCAATTAGTTCTCTACTAGACAGGTATGAATCCTAGCACTTCAACTTTTGCCTGCTATTAAAAATGGCTCTCCAAGTAATTAAAAAGAATTGCTTTCAGCTAAATATGTGTTTTGCAGAGGGTGCATACTTTAGGCACACTTCTTTTGGTGCCTTTTTTTTTTTAATAGAGCACATACACAGAAATTTTTCTGTTTTGAGAGTTTTACTTTATAAAATATCCAGAGCTTCAGAAAACTAATTTTGTAAAAGACATTTACTGTTTTCCATAGGGAATGAATGAGCAAAAAACTTTGCTTTAAAAAACTTTATCAGCAGTGACACGCCATAGTGTCCCAGACAAAGTTTGCAACTGTGAACTGTGGGCTCAGATCTTACATTTATGAATATACATTATAGTAGAGCTCATTTTCATAAGTACTGTGTATTTTGAATATAAATGCACAGTACACAGGGAACACAATTCAGTCCTAATATTCATAAAGAAAGCAGGCATAATTATATGCTAAATATTTTAACAAAGACAAATTGATTATTAAGGTTTTATTTTTCCACTCTCAGCTCTTGAGAAATCTCCCTTCTGTAATTACTGAAAAGTAAAACAATCTGACTGGGGGCCAAAATATATTGGCCAAGCAAAGATGGGAAGGCTGAGCTTTCTTGAAGGCAGCAAGCAGTGCTTATATTGCAGTTGCTTATGATATTCCTGTAACAGGCCTGATCCTGCACTGCTGAGATCAAAGGATGTTTTTACTTCACTTTATTGAAAAAAGTTTTATGTAGAAAAATAAGAGCTCCTTCTACAGTTCTGTTAGTTTGGTCCAAACCTGTAAACAAACAACTGAATGAACAGACACATTTAGGCTTGACTGAATAATTTTTTCTTTTAAGTAAGCCACACATGATGATGAAGAACAAAGTAAAACTTGACCTTAAAAATGACAAAAACCTTTTCTTAGTCAAGCCTCCTGTTAGGAAAAGGAGGTAAAATGTTCTTATGTAGTTCTTATTGATCTTGTGGGTTTTCTGCAGTCATAAACTTCAGAATATATTGAACATATTGATTAATTTGATAAATTATGTTCCTTAAAAGCCAAAGCTGTAAATAATAATATCCATTAAAATAAGAAATAATTAGATGAATGAATAACAGCACTGCCTGATTTTTATGAGCTATGTCTATCTACCTAATGTAGAAAATAATTGTATTCAAACTGGAAAAGAAATTTTGTTTTACCTCAGCCATTGTATTATTATCTAGTGTTCAGTAAGTATTTTTCTTCCCTCTCTGGCCCCATTTGTGCTCAAAGATGTCTTTATTTAGAAAGAATTGCAGCTGAGAAGCAAGAAATGTGAGTGAACTGCTTTACTATGCTACTGTTTTTACTATTTCAGAGCTGCAAGAAACCAAGACCTCTGAGTATCACAGGATATCCCACAGCCCCCTGGATTACAGGATATTATTGATGGATGAGGATCAGGATCGGATCTATGTGGGGAGTAAAGATCATATTCTGTCTCTGAATATTAACAACATAAGCCAAGACCCCCTCAGTGTAAGTTCAAGTTTTATTCTGAGAATCTGAGGTTGCTTTATTCCATGTCTTTCCTTTTAAGACAAAAAACATAGCATTCGATCATTTTACACAGAAGTCCATGCCCACACCTTATTGAATTTTTAGTCCTTGTTTTATGCATTACATGTTTTATCTGCATTACAATGTAGGTGAAGCTATACACTGTTCCTCAAACTGTTTAAAACTGACCTATTTACTCATTTTGAAGCAATATTCTGCTTGGCCTGACTTTACAAGAAAAATCTGTGTGTTTTGACCCTTTCCACCTCTCTCCAAGATAAGATGGTTTGGAGATGCACTTTGAGAAGAATCCCCAAGGAAGAATAAGATACTATCATTCTCAGGCCATACAGAAAAAAAGCAAGGGCAGAGTTGTCCTTAATCTTATGCATTTTTTATGTTTTGTGTTCTGACCCTAATCACTGAACTACTTTCCAGTCTCCTGTTGTATGTCTGTGTCAGCCTTTGCACTTCAGTTGGGTAGCTGAGACATTATTTGGGTTTGGTTATTTTATTTGGGTTTTTGGGCACAGTGATAACCCCTGTTTTCTGGCTTCTCTCACTTACTGAGATGGTCTTTTCCAAGGACTTTGTGTTCCCTCATCAAACAGTAGAAGGCAGCTCTGTGTGAAAATAATAATATTATCAAATGCTTACAGATTCCTCTCTTGTCTCCAAAGCCAGTGAAATTCAGCCTCTGCTTTTGACATGGGTGACCTGCAGACGTTCTTGTGTGCCCAGAAGCTTGGCTGTTGAGCTATTGCCTGTCTACAGACTTTGTCTTGCCTGTTTTAGACTATCACAGCTACTGGCCTGCCTGAAGGTGTACCATAAAGGCCTTGTTCCACCAAATCCATCCAATCCTTTAATCTGTGGGCTTTATTACAGTACCTCAGAAGGACTGAGGGGCAGCAATACCTGGCTTGCAGCTGGGAAGATAAATGCCTTCCTTAAGAGACAAGGCTTTTAATGTGTCAGGAGAGAGAGAGGCGCCCTGCCAGAGAGTGATTGAGCACAGTTAAATTGGGCTTTGCTCTGAATCACCCTCTGGACATGCCTGTCCACCTGAATTGATTCAGGGAGCCCAGGGAGGCTCATTCTAACTTACACATTTAAATTAAATGCTTCTAGTTCTATGGTGTGAATGCATCCTTCCCTCCTCCTAATGGTACCCCGATCTCCCTCTGAAATGGGGCTGCCTTCTAGGGTCTGAAATACCTTCTGTGACCTTTTTGCTAATTTCCAACTCACAGTGAGCCAGCACCCTGGTCTGGCTGGAGCTGTGCCCCAGCATGGCACTCCCCCTCCTGTCCTTGGCACGTTGGCTTTAATCCTGTGCTGGGTTTGATTAGATAGGAGGGCCTCAGTTACATGAAATATTTTCTACAGTATAAAGCTGTGAGGCATTTCAACAGCTTATGTAGGCCTGGAGAATAAAGAATAAAAAAAATGAACAGAAAGGAAAAACACACAAAGCTTTCTGGCAGTGAATGTGATCACCCAGTATTGGGCTCAGAATGACTCTCTGCAATTCCACACAGTCTTTCCATTTGTTTATTTAAAAACAGATTCACTTTGCTGATCTTATAGATCTGTAGAAATCCCATATACATATGCATTCAAATCCATAATTCTACATATATATATGTACATATATACACATAGATCTTTTAATGATATTGTTTATGTTATCTTGGGGCTAAATGTTATCAGGCTCTGTCACGTACAAGATTTCTGGGGATAAATTTGTAATGGATGTCTTTCCTATTTCAAAATCAAAATAAATAAGGGAAGAAGCTCAATATTTACAGTTTGAGATAAACAGATAAGCATTCAGACATTGAAGTATTTATTGAAAATCCTTCTGAAAGAAATCAATGTGAAATCTTGAGATTTCAGGTAGGTTTTGTCATAATCTAGCCAAAACTTTGATGATAAAATTGAAAAATTGTTACAAGAACCCTTCTTTCAATATTTTAGTCTTCTGGATATACTGTGAATAATTTCTACAAGTTCAGTAAAAGTAAAAAAGTAAAGAAAGATGGGCAGTAATTTAGGCAATAGTGGTGAAAAAGCTCTCTTATTTAGAAAAAACAAATCTAAATTGATTAGTTTGCATTAAAAAATTTTAATAAACTTAATATATATCAGCCAAAGACCTGGCCCTTGATTTTGTTTAGTGCATGCTAAGACAAAGATAGTTTTGTTTATCAACATAAATCCTTTTTTTCTTTATAATCAAAGTAGAAATTATATCTAAATATTAATCTATTAATGTATGTTAGGTAGTAAAATTTATTTTTTTAATTATGTAATACATATACTGCTTGAACAATACTTCTTTCCTTGCAGATTTTCTGGCCAGCATCAGCAAACAAGGTTGAAGAGTGCAAAATGGCTGGCAAGGATCCTACAGTAAGTTGTAATCCACACGCACTCATACACACAAATTAGGTACTTGGCAATAAAGTAAGAGCACCTTGAGTGCAGCCAAAGCAAAATGAAAGAAGTGTTTGATTTTCTTTTGAAATGCTTTGCAAGCCAATCTATAAAGTGAAATTCTGGAAAATCAGGCAATGTAAACAGAGTGCACCTCCAGACTGACAGATGGGAGAAGATACGTAGTGTCCATTTCCTACCTTTTTTGGTTGTTACTAATCAAACTAGTAATAGTACTTTTCCAGGTATGTTCTGAGGTGGTGCTGCACTGTTTGTTGAGCTGCTCTTCACAGTGTAGAAGTTCTCCAGCTGGCTGCTCCCTCCAGGAGCACATTCTGAGGGTCGGTGGTACCCACTGCCTGCAGTCTGAAAACCCCAGGTGTGCGCCAGTTTTCAGATGATATTGCATGGTGCTGGCTCCTGCTGAACCAAAAATTTGAATGCCTTTAAAAGTAAATAAACCAGTGCAGTCTGCTAAACAAGGATTAACTCTACTGATTTTCATGAAGATGACTGATGGCACAGTTTCCAACCCTGTGCTCATAAAACATATGCAGTTCACAGTGTCTTCATTGAGGTTTGGATGGTTGAATATGAAAGCAGTTCTGGGATCTGGGTAGGAAAATTTATTCATTAAAAAATCTGTTTTCAACCTAAAAAGCATTAACACTTGATCACAGTAAAAAATGAAAGAGTAAGAAAAAAAAGGGAAGGGAAAAAAATGTAAATCCAGTACTGTGAACTGTGTGGCCCTTAACATTCTGGTTTAATTTTCATGCTGATTTGAAGATGTCACTGTAGGTCTTCCATACAAAGCAACAATTGACTGCAAACCTCAGTTTAAAGTTTTGGAAATAAATTGTTTATACAAGTAGCAAATCTGATATTTGGACTTGCTTTCTTTTTAATAATCTCCATTTATGTTGAACAAATCAGGAGGAAAAAAGGACTGTATTTTTTCTTAAGACACAGAGGTGTCCTTAGGGAAACTAACTAAGGTTACGCCTTGGTTTCCTGTAGAGGTCCTGCTTCTTCTCATGCAGGAGAAATATGTGAATGAAAATTGGATTGCTGTGTGGAAGTGGGAGCACTGTGTGGGCTCTATAACTCATCTGTGGTGCTCAATCAGAGAGAGCCCCGTTCCCAGAGCAGGCAAATTGATGTGAAAAGAAACAGCTGTCCAGATCCAGAGACCAACAAACTCAGTAGAGCCGTTTTCATTATGCTATTAAAATTCTATGTCATGTTCTCTAGAGTTCCCAACATCTCCTAACACTTGCCCCTGTGGAGTGACTGTTCTCTGTGTTTCCTGCAGCACGGATGTGGGAACTTTGTGCGAGTGATCCAGTCCTACAACCGCACCCACCTGTACGTCTGCGGCAGCGGCGCCTTCAGCCCCGTCTGCGTCTACGTCAACAGGGGACGCAGGTCTGAGGTAACTCTCCTCTCATTCTTTCCACTCTCTTTGTGGTCCACCCTGCTGGTGTGAAGCAAAATCTCAAAGTTTTGAAAGTGCAAGAATCAGTGGTCCCAGTAGGGTCCTTCACCGATGTTAAATAGTGAAAGAGCAAAGGTCCGTGGTTTTGTGACCTCATACCAGCTAGAAGCAAAGCCATTATCAAAATCCATGCCTCAGATATGATGGTTGTCCAAAATATGATATATTTGTCCAATATATGGACAACATTTTTCCTATATATATATATATATGTCCAATACATGATGGTTGCCCACAGTCGTACCAAATGCTGGGATACTGATAGTACTTTTTATTTGACATTGTCTGGTGAATTCATTCCTACCATTTGGTGGAAAAATGCTCAAGAAATACTTGAAAGGAAATAGCCAGTTAGATGAAAAGTAAAATACAAACTTCAATTTTTATAACTTCCATGTGTTTCTGGTTTCTTGGAGTAGCCCTTAATTTGGCTAACTATTCAGGTTAGGTTTGCTGGAATTCAGCTTAACACCATCTAGATGCAATCGCAGTACAAGAACTTTATTTACTGCACAAGTTTTGCCCCACTAGATGGTGCCCAGATGAAGTTGGTAAGTTTCTCTTCACTGTAAGATCTTACGTTTTCTAGATAGGTCTCCAATTTTTCTATATTCAGTTTCACTGCGTGTATTTTCAGTATAAGTACCAGATGTTTCAGAAGTATATGGTCCAAGTTTCCTGATTTGAAAGTGAAATGTTTGTTTATCTGCAAATGTAATAGGTAATAAATTAAGCAACGAGAAAGAAAGAGAAAGGCACTTAAGCAGGAGGCAGCACCTCAGTAGCTTTTGGGTCAGGTTCATGTCTGCAGGCACAGGGGTGTGCAGTATAATTTCCAGAACAATGTGGAAGCAGATGTGTTGGGAAGGAAGATCAGAGGGTGCTACCTGGAGCTGTGCCATGTGAGGGCAGCTTTAAAAGCTGGGCTGGCTTCTCGGGAAGACACTGAGAAATTCATCACTGATTTAATTGGGAGTGGGATGGGAATTCTGGCTGAGCCCCAAGATTGCTGCAGAGGGTGCCAGGGAGGTGATTATTCAATGTTCCTCCAGGTCAGTTTGCATGGTATGATCTCAGTGACTTTTGGTAGATCCCTACCTGGCTCAGCTTCCTTAACAGAGCAAGCATTCACAATCACTGCACTTTCAGTCCTACTAAATTATCTAAAAGTAGAGATTACAGGCCTGGATTTAAAAGCAGAAGTGAGAAGAACTAAGTAAATCCATTCTTCTGGTTTAAAAATTCTGCATTGATTTATTTTGATGTATTATGAAACAGGGATCACCTTTCCCCAGTATTATTCTATTTCTTGAAAAATCATTTAAAACATGAACAATGATCTCATTGGTCTTTAATCAATGTAATGCTCTTTATCATCTTAAGTACTGGTATTGCAGGCCAGAGATGTTTGAATCTCATTATTTTAGACTGTTTGTAAATGAGATTGGGACAGAGGGGAGGGCAGGAAATGACATCTCCAGATGATGCAGGATGTTAAATTTCTTAAATGAAAAGTAAAGATACATGACTTGGAAAAGCAGAAGCAGCTTCACTTAGGCTGTCTGTAGAGCTGCATGCCTATGATCAATTGATTAAATAAACTGCTGTTTCAGACGTCTGGAGTCTGTGAGACACTTGACTGTAGGCACTTCATGCTCAAAGCCATCACTGTGTAGGCCAACAATAGCATAACAGTTTGAACTCAAGAATTTCCTTCTGAACTCATTGCATATATCTGTGCATGACTAATTGATAGAGCAGTATGAGGAACTATGTAATGCTGATGGGACTAGTGAAAATTCATTTTTTCCTCTGCTTGTATCATTTTGCTTTCAATGTGGTACAGTTTTCAATGCACAAAAGGTTGTTTTTGCACGTGCAAAATGAATATTTTAGAAAGCACATCTGTTTTTCTCTAGAAGCTACAAAGCCTGACAGAGTCATATCCAACAATCATAAGAACTGGGCCTGTTTTGCTCTTCTGTCTCCAGGATCCCACATAAGCTCACAAAAAATTGGGGTTTCATTGATGAGGCAAAATTTTGCCCTTTTCCCTGAAACAGAGGTTATAAAACAATTAATTTTCTTCTTTGGCACACTTAATACTTTGGTCTTCAATAATTACTCCCTTAGTTACCCAAATATATTCTAATGTCAAAGTAAATGCAAACAGAAGGAAGTATAATCCCTAAGTGAAATAATTATAGACTAAATAGTAGTTTAATATATATGAAAATCAAGTGTAATCCTGGAGCTAGTTTAGTAGAGGAGTAATGGGCATTTTGAATTGGTAAATAGTGGTTTAATATAGTAAACATGGATTAGAATCAAGCTGCATATAATCTAGAAGTGAAAAAAAACAACAAAGAAACCACCCAAGATCACATTAGAAACTTCATACTTATAGTTTAACAGTGTTTAGAGAGCTTATTACTGAAACAATAGATAAAATCTGTGAGATTAAATTAGGCAAAACAGAAGTGGGGGAAAGAGAGGGAACAAGTATATGAAAACTTCCTGCTGCAGCTGTGCACTTGAACTTAGCGTAATCTTCACTTCGCTGGTGCCAAATGGCTGCTGAGGGACTTGTGTGGCATCCCCACTCCCCTGTGATCTACATTAACTGTTAAAGGGAATATCAGGAGTTTCTGGCCTTTCTCAAATAACTAATTGTTGGCATCTACCTCACAGAAGCCTTTCTTTGGAATTTTTGTCAGCTACATTTTTTTTTTTTGAAATGTTTAAGTTTGGTTATTTGTTGTTGTTGGGGTTTTTTCCTTGCAATTGTGTCTTTTGGCCTTTTATTGAAGATTGGAAGTTTGTTGTAGGAGCCTAAGAGCAAGCTGTTTGGTATCCAGTGTGGGGGAGTCAGTGTGTGTTGGGTCAGCTTATATCTGCCATTACTGACTGCAGTTTTTAAGGAACGAGCTTGGGCCTGAGTAATTTCTTGCTGAGCACACTGTGCTGGTATTGCTGGGAACCAAGTGAAGAGTTGCACCAAAATGGGCAGATTTTCTAAAGATATTCAGATTGTTTGTATTTTAAGCTGTAGTCCAAATTGCTTCTACTTTGCTAAATGTATTTCTTCTTCATAAAGTACATAAAATATAAAAAAAATCCCTGTACCATGATTTCTTTAAAAAAAATCAGGAGATTTCAGGCTATGGTAAGAGATATAGATAAATCATCTGTCACAGTGGACTTGGAGCTCTACACATAATCCAAGAGATGGTATTGAGGAAAATAAGTGTCATTTGGTGGATGTTTGGAGGTCTGATAACTCAGTAAGGACCAAATGATTTATGCTATTACTTAATACCAGTTGTCATAAGAGATTTTTATTTTACATGTATTATTGTTTTAGTAGCTTTATTGCAATGTCCTAGACAGTTATAAGTACACCAGTATATTCAGAAAATAAATGATAAATAACTTCAAAACCACAGAAGCAATCTCCACAGATATTATTGCAGAGATCAGTCAACCTATCCTTAACAGAGACAGAGGGAACTTTTTTTTGATTCAGTGTCTTGAATTTATAACAAGAGTCTTGATAATAACCATGTGTCAGTGTTATCTAACAAGATGATGGAATTCTGAATAGAAGAGTTAAACTACCAGTAGTACAGTGGAAGTGCCCAGTAGAGCACTGTTAATAGAGCATTGCTAATGCTGTGAACAGCCAGGCACAACGACCAGCTTAGATCTAATGGTTTCTGACATGAGGAGTGACACACAAATCTGCTTTGCAGGAACAAATCTTCAAGATTGACTCCAAGTGTGAATCAGGAAAGGGACGCTGCTCCTTCAACCCTAACGTGAACACGGTGTCTGTTATGATCAGTAAGTAAAGACACCCCAGGCTGCTGGGGTGTGAACCCGTGAGGTCATGTGGAGGGTGAGTTGATGGAATGCCCCAGGGGAGCTGGACACAGAGTTCAGCCCCCAGGAGCAGTGCCTTTTGTCTGCCTGATGGGCACAAGGGGTGGCTCCATCCGTGTTTCAAGGCCTGTGAGAAGCTTAAGGTGGGTGGACAAATGAAATGCCAGAATAAGTTATTGAAAGGGGGAGAGAGACACAGGAAACAAAAGGTTCTCTCTTTTCCAGATTATACATTTTTTCCCAGGAATAGTTTCAGCTTTGCATTACCCTGTCTAGCATTTATATTTGAATGGTTTCTGACCTTGTTCATCCTAGACAGCACTTGTGTCTTATTTAATTATTTTTAAAACCCCAGAGTAGCCAGGGAAAGAAAGCCTGAAGACTTCAGATGCTTTAAATTTCATTTTTGTTGTCATTGCTGCTGTAGAGCCCAGCAACTATTGTAAAGCTCTTCATTCTTCAATTGGCTTTATACCCAACCCAAATTTTGCCATTTTCTTCCATCTGAAAGGCCATAAAGTGAAACAATATGCTGTGCTTGTTGCACACCTTTGAGAAAATTCAAAGGGGGAATACACTTTGTACAACCTAAGTCATCTGTAAAAGATACTTTTCATTTTTTCAACCAGGAAGAGCTGGAAATATATACTCAGTGTAACCTGACCTTTCACATTTGCTGTGTGTTCACACACTTCTAGTGCCAAAGCCCTGATTTTTCAACATGTGTCTGCTCCTTGCTGTATTTATGGCTATGGAGGGAACAACAGTTGCACAGATTTTTGAGACTTTCTCAGTAAATAAAACTTATTGTACACAGGTACTCTGTATTTCACCCAAGGTTTACCAGAGAACAATGTGCCATGTTTCTGCCATTCAGCTTCCTCTGAAATCAATTACATCAATTATGTATTGTGTGAGATATTTCCTTTAAAGTCTTGTAGATCTTAAGGAAAGTGTAATACAGTCTGTCCTACATGGCCTGTTCAAAATATAAATTGCTTTTGGTTTTTTGGGGGGTTTTTTTTGATTCCTAGATATCTATTTAGTACAAAGGATAAGTATATCTATTCACAGAGATGTGAACTGAACACCTGTAGACAACAGGTGAATGCTGCCTAGACATCTCTCTGAACCTTGGCTGCACTTACACCTTTATCTCAACAGTGATGTAGGGACAGTGTTTACAGACACTCACTGTGTAAAGAAAATGTTTGTTTAAAGTCAGTGATAGATGAGTCCACTGCTACTCATTGCCATTCTGGCATTATTAAGTGAAGTGACTGTTTCCTTTCCTTGTTCCTTCTGGATTTTATATGAGAACATTAAAGAACATTTTTTCTGAATTATTGTTTGTATAATGAGCTGATTTTTTTTCTACAGTAGGTCTATGGCAGCTTTGTTCATCTAAATTGACTTTTCGTTATCTTCCTTGATCTCTGTTATGTGACTAAGGAGACCTTCCCTCCAGTTTGACTTATCTTTCATGGCATAGTTCATCTACAAAGTTTAAATTATTCCACCAAGGTCAAATTCCTAAAACTCAACCCTAGATTGAGTTTTATACTTTGTGTTGCAAAGTCCAGTCACTTCAAAAGCCTTAAGCTCTGGTGAATTTGGCCTCAGTATCAGAAACATGAACATTTTCTAAGTCTCAGCCCATGTTGTAATGAGGGCACTGAGCCAATGCACTGGAGTCACCTTTGAGCTTTCTGCAGGAGGAATTCCCTCCCATTGCTTCAGAACATAGTAAATATCACCAAAACAACTAACTCTTCCACAACAAAAGAACCCTTTTTAAATATAGATGCAATTTCTTGACCATTTGGGGCATCACCTGCCTAGAATACAGCAGGAAATCTGATTCAGCCTTCAGAAGAAAGTCGTGCTATAAAAATAAATTTGAACTTTGTACAGTTTACCACTGTACAGAGATGCATTTGCACCAAAGCAATGAAAAAAGTGCTTTGAAGCAGCTTGGCAATACAAGTGTGCAGGATGCATATCTTTCTCCCCACCATGAGATATTTATAAAAGCAGACAAACCTCATCCATTCAGTAATTCCCCTCAGTAACAAAGTAAAGTAGAGTGAATTCATTGTGCTGTGCAGACCAAATACTGTGTGGAATTTAAGGATTTTACCAGAAGGAAGTGGAACTGATGGATCTCCCCTGACACATGATTAGCAAACAGACATTAGGAATGCTTAAGACATAAGTAATACTGTTGATATATAATAGGATTAAAATTACATAGTGTAGTACTGTTCTGAGTGTGTACGTATGTGTGTATGCACAGGACTGTACTTAACATTTAGTGAGAACCATAAACCTGATCTCTTTCAGCCAATTTGTTTCATAATAAGAATAAAGTTCTGATGGATTGAGGCAAGGAGGGAAATATACAAAATCACTTATAAACTTGCCCAGATCTAACATCATTCTGTCAATATCTGCTCCAGAAGAAAATGCTTCAGCAATATGCAGCAAATGCATTGCTTAAATCCCCTGTGTAGGAATCCTGTCATCATGGGGAGAGGTGAGAGCAGAAGAGTGGCTGCAGGGTGCCCTGCCAGGGTTCAGTTAGCAGCAGAAAAGCAAAGTCTCCAAAGTTTTGATGCTCTCATGAGATTCTCAGTAGTCTTCCATGCTGATTATGAACACACATACACACGCATGCACAGCATGAAAATAGTCTCAAGTATTTCTGAGCCTGTGACTCTTGCCAGCTTGACCACACTCTCTGGGTAGTCCAGGAGCACAGACAAAAACATCAATCAAGGGACCCAGCTGTACTGGAATGTATTCAGCCACCACTCCTACTCTGAGAGTTAGAGTTTATTTTAGCTACTGTTTTCTACTCTGGGGTTTCATTGTCATTAGTCTGTGGAAATTGCTTGGTTATTCACAGAGTAGAAAATGATAGTATATGTAATTATAATTGTAATTATATATACATATGTTTGTGCACACACACAGACTTAAATAAACACAGATAGAGATCCTGACTGATGGGCTGAGTTTTAAGCCCTGCGCAGGGAGCAGAAGCTCATAGTTAATGTAGGAGTTGCATGTCTCCTTCTGCTCAAGCATAATGACCCTATACTTAGAACCAAGTACACAACAGGGACAACTGTTGCTCCACATTACTCTGAGTAAAGTTCAGTGATGTGATTGTCTGGCTTCTGCAATACTGAAGGCAGCTTGAGGCTGCCTGGGGCAGCCATAACAATGCTGCTGGTAAAAATTGGCACTGATCCACTGACTGTAATAGATGTTGTGCCAGTTTACAGCAGCAATAAATTCAACCCAGTCACTTCAACTACTTTCGTAACAAAAAAAAAAAATTCTTTGAAGTGCATACTTAATATATTGAATGTGATACTTTTTGATAACACTAGCCTTATTGTACAGTGGTCCTTAGCAGTGCAAATAGGGCAACTAAACTTCCTATCAAGAATAGTTTCCCCATATATGCAGCTCTGCTGTGGCATTTAATGGTACAGCTCCATAAAGTCTCTAAGAAAAATCTGATTACTCTCATTCATTCTAGCTTGAGTCTTTGTAAATCAGAGAAAACCTCATTCCCATGACCCACTATTTATCTGTATAGACTCCTGTGTAAATAAAGAGCTGATGAATTTAAAATAATCTTTTTTTTTCCAAAAGCCATAACACTTCTCCCTCCATTTCAATTCTTTGCAGATGAAGAGCTTTTTTCAGGAATGTATATTGATTTCATGGGGACAGATGCAGCCATTTTTCGCAGTCTGACCAGGAGGAATGCAGTGAGGACTGACCAGCACAACTCCAAGTGGCTGAGTGGTGAGATGCCTTTAATTTACCTGAGTTTTAATGGGTGTCACAGAGATTCTTCTTTCCTTTGCTTAAAACAAGGACCTTATCTTTTAAAGAGCTTGTCTCTGAACTTAATTTATGAAGAAGAACCATGACGAAATGTGTGTAAATACAAACTGTAGATAATGCACAGATGTAGAGGGATCCCTGCATGAACCAAGCTCCTAGGCCACCCTACCTGAGGGCCTTTTTTGCATTTAAGCTGAACCAAGCACTTTGAGGGCAAGTGTATGAAAACCTTTCCAATGGCAATTGAGGGTAGTCTGATTTCTAGAAAAATGCCTTCACCTCTAATGAATCAGATATTGCCTTAAATCAATGATTCTAAGCCACCAGCTTCAGTTAATTCAAGGTGATCCATCTCTGCACAGAAGATTCATCACCACTTGCATTCAAAATGTGTGCAGAAGAGTGTCCCACTATCAGAGAGGTCAATGTGGATCATTGTCACTTATTTCAGTGGTGAGGAATTGGATATCTAAACACAGTAGGAAAACTCATTTCTGAGTGAAATCAAATAACTCCTTGATTCACTGATATCACTGTGAAAATTCTCCCTATCTTTACTGGTAAGAAGACTCCTTCCAATGAAACCAATTTAAATTAAAATACTAGTCACCCCTCTGAGCAGAGGTAGGTGTGAAAGGTTATAAACCAACTAACACAGCAGTTACGTATTTTAAAAGCCTTCAGGTATGTTGAAGTAAAGTTACTCTGGTTTTGTCTTGATATTTTTTGTGGTGACTTATCATTCCTGTCTGGCTGTGACTACAATGAAATCACAAGATTTCATTCACAAAGTCATTTCACTATGAAAAGGAAACTATGTCTGCTCTCAAAATTTTTTTTGTGTTTGTTACACATTCTTACACTGACCTGTGCACCCTAACATGTGCATCCTATAATGAATTAGAGAAAAAGAAAACTTTAAAATGCCTAATTTCTGGAAAATCTGCCTGTTTAAAACAGGTACTTGAAGGTAAAATTTATTTCCATGTTCTTTTAGAGCCAGAGTCATGACATTTGTTATATTAATTGAGAATAGACTTATGTGAACAGAAAAATGCTGCAGTCCAAAATTAATTTTTCGTCAGACATTCAACCTTTGTATCAGATTGTTCCAAACTTTGTACTGCACTTTAACTGAACAAGCAATCTTGCATGATCATTGAAAGGACACAGCCTTCATGCAAGGAGAAGGGCCACTTCTTCCTTCAGTCAAAGGAGGTATTCTGAGGGCTCCTGCACTGTCCATTATATGTTTGCTGTTAAGGTTATAAATTATTTTGTTCTCTCCCTAATTCTCCTTTGATACATTTGATTATGTTTACCAGCCTCTGATACAAATTCAAATACTGCTCAAGCATTTGCCTACCCTCCTTTCCTTTTCTGGGTTACACAAATTGTTTTCCTCTCTTATTTGTGAACTTTATTTGTTATATTGCTAAGCTCTTCCAGCTTTCTTTTATGTTTTGTCTCAATGAGCCTTTCCTTAGGTGCACCAGATAACACATTCTTCCTTCTTGCTTGATTCTTCCTTCTTCCTCAGAGTCTTTGGGTCTCTGCAGTAACCTATTACTATTGCTTCTGGACTGCTCCTCTAAAAATTTGCTGTAAAATAAAGTTTGAGGATGCAAGCACATATGGCTATCAGCATGGAGCCACTATTGTTGATATTTAGTATATTCAGCGCTTCTTGAAGCAGTCAGTAAATGTCAAATCATTCATTGCTTATACTGATACATCTTTTGGTTTCATCCTTTTGGTAATTTTTTTTCATTTCAGAGCCTATTTTTGTGGATGCTCATGTTATCCCAGATGGCACTGACCCCAATGATGCCAAAATCTACTTCTTCTTCAAAGAAAGACTCACAGACAACAGCGGCAGCACAAAGCAAATTCATTCAATGATTGCAAGAGTGTGCCCAGTAAGAATTATTTTGTTTACCAGGTTTCTGGGATAAGCTGCTAGTGTGACATGATAATCTAAAAGACTAAATGTTTGAAAAGCCTTTGATTTGACTAAATTTCCTGTTTCTGTGTCACCATTCATAATAAAGAAGAGCTGTTACTGAGCTCACAGCTAGGGTCTGAACAGGTTATGTATATCTAACTATGCATGTAAGAATATGGAAATGTAGAGGTTCAGGGATTTGTGTATTTCTCTGACTGAGTCAGAATAGTTACCAGTGTTGAGTTTTCAAACTTACTGTCCTTAGCACAAATAAGACACATTATTTTCTTAATAAAAATGAACTTTAGGCAGTGAAGGCTTTCACACATACACACTCAAAATAATTAAAGCACATCAGAAATATCAAGCTTTTAAACTGGTGGATTTAACTTTAAAATGCTGTTTTCATTTTTACAACATCTGTTCTTTCTGCTTGCTTGCATTGATGCATGTGTGAGCCTAACTTTAAAAATGTGCACAGGAAATTCAAATCCAGGAGTTATGGCTATTCCTGGGCAATAATTAATTTTTTTTCACAGCACTCCTCATTGTCTCTATTTCTTTTTTTTTTTTTTTGTATCTCTAATCAACTGTAGATGAAAAATGATTGAAGCAGCTATTAATATCTCTGGTGAAATAATTTTATTTTTTTTTTAATGAGAGAAAAATTATCAATGCACAATTGCTGCTAGCCTATTCATTCCTTCTTTTGGAATGCTTCAGGAAGTTCATTGTGAGTGTTTATACATTCCCTGTCTTTAATTTGGCTTTTCTTTAGAATTTGATGCTTTGTGATGTTGTTTTACCTGGATGTGAAGGTGTTTGTCCTTCTCTGGCAATATGCTGAGGAATATGATCTCTTTTATAATCTCCATTCTCTGTATTATAGTTAAAGTTCCTAAAGGCCTTTTTGGGTGTTTTGCAAGAAGACATTTCACACAATTACAGCTGTATTAGGTTTTCTACTGTTATGATGAAGCCCAAATGATTTTTGAAAGGCCTAAGCCTTTTTAGACTTACACTGAAGCCAGTGGCAGAATCCGAAGGCAAATTAAAAGAAATCTGAGCCAGTCATATTTATATACTTGTATACATACAATGTCATTGTATCCATGTATTAAGAATGGCAAAATATATTACCCTTTAAGACTGGCAAAATATATTACCCAGTGAAAAGATTCTTTATGAGTCACCCAAAATGTTGGATTAGCAACTCCAACAGCATCAGTGAAACATTTCCAGCACTTTATTGAAAGCCCATTTCAGTAGCTTCTACATTTTGGTTTTTCTCTTTCCTTGGGTGACATCATGTTGTGCAGTTTGGAGGACACTGCTCTTGTGTAAGTAATTCACCAGCACAGTTGGTCAGGATCTGTCACCTCAGGGCTGCATCACCTGGTTTGGCAGCTACAGTTGCCACCCTGAACCATGGAAAATTGGAAAGATCCATGAGTGAGCCATGTGACCAAGCCATCTCTGGACCAAGCTAGCAGGACTTGCAACAGTTCATAACTAGCTTGACCCACACTAGCCATCATTTCTGAATGCTGTTTAGAGCATCCACCTCATGTGCTAGTGTGGCTTACTAGGTCAGGTGCATCTATGCTGCTGTCAGGACTAGAAGAAACATCCCTGCATAGAACCATGAGACCTTTTAGAGATAGCATGGACTTTATCCTGGGTGTCAGTGAGTGATGCAGAGCTCCACAGTCACTTCCAGTCAGAACAGCATAGACTGCTGATGCACAAAAATCTACTGCCCAGCTCTCCAACCCTGCTAGCCCAGCAGAGAAAGTCCACTCAGAAAATTAGTTCTTGGTTTGTTCTGCATGTAGAATGCTTAGATGAGGGGATTTGGCTTAGGCCTATCTATTTTTAATATTAAATTTACCAGATAATTATCTAGATAATGAATTAACCTGAGAAAAATGTGGGAAAGCCCAGTAGAATGTTAGCTGTGTTTTATTTCCAATTTACTGAAAATAATGTTCATTTCCAGAATGACACAGGTGGTCAGCGCAGTCTCGTGAACAAGTGGACAACATTCTTGAAAGCAAGACTTGTGTGCTCAGTGATGGATGAAGATGGAACAGAAACATACTTTGATGAATTAGGTATCACAAAAAACATTCCTTAAAATTTCATCTAAATGCTGTGCCTTGTCGTATTTAATGACTGATTTTCATTCAGTTTCTTAGTCAGGTTGTTAACAGTGAAATCATAGCACAAAATTCCCCTTGCAGTTTTATGACAGCAGAAACAAAAAATTCTTCATAAGTCTCTCTGTGTAATTATAAGGTAATTAAGGTAATTAATCTTGACTGTGTAAAACAATGATGTATGTAAAGAATTAATTCTTGGAAGGAATCATCTAAGTGATTCTCTTACTATTTTGCTACTAGCTTGGATTACAATAAAGGGTTTTTAACATCCCTTTGAAACTGTTTCTTACAGCACTGTATAACATTCAGCTTTTTCATAATGCATTTTTTCTATTTTTTGATCACAGGGTAGAGTCCTCAGTTTGGTAATTCAAGATAATGCTAATAAATACTGTTAGTGATGCCAGCAATAGCACTATCCATAAAAAATATTTTTCAGGAATCATTCAGTCATACAAATTTTTGTTTCAACATGTGAATTACTGTAAATATTCAATGCATACAGCAATCACAAGAGGTTTCTTTTCATGAAGGAATTAATAGATGCATAGCTTGATACCTACATGCCAAACAACATTACCAGAAAGTTTCAAATTCTATGCTTTCTGTAGCTGAAATGCACAAAATTATAGTTCTAAATTCATGTATTTGAAGATTTGGTATGTGCTTTACTATAAATATAAATAATATATGCAGCTAATGTGCCCTGCACTGGGTCTGCATCTGGTTCTGATCTTCTCTCCATTGAATCCTCTCTCTTTTCTTGATTATTGTTCCTGATTCCCACCATAGCAAATGGGGGTTGGAGTCTTTTTGAGGTTATATATTTACAACTGTTTGGTGTATTTGCTTTAGTTCAAGGTTTCAATGGGACCTGACTGGGCCTAGGAGCACATCCTAACTTGCTCTAGCTCGGAATGTGCAAGGTGCTTGGAGGACTGATTTTCTGAGGTTTGCAGTGCCTCAGCACTGCCACAGCAGCTCATCTTTCAGAGCTGTGATTTACCAACCCCCTCCTCTTCAACAAAACAGTAGGATAACTGCTTTTAGTTTCTTGTATGACAATATGTAGGGCCATAGTGAATAGGAGACAATGCTCTCAGCATGGGCTCCCAGCACAGTTCCCTAGCAAAGAGGAAGAATATAGTCACAGCTGGAAATTCAGAAAATGGAGAGAGAGCAAACACATGCTTCTGTGTTCATGTATAATTCAGAAGAGTATGACACTTCCAGTTCTGCATGGTGGAGTCTTTTGCTTTTGACACATTGAAAAGAATATTTAAAAAATTCAGCGGGTTAAATGAAAGAGCCACATGAATTAATGGAAAGCTAAAGAACATATTCTGTGATAAAAAGCTCACACAGTTCAGTCTTTTTTGAGTTGTAAATTAATTTTAAGAGGTAGCATGATTATAGTGATTAAACACATTTGTAAGGAGAAACTGTCAGAGATTAAAGTAGTTTTCACTGAAGTGTAAAAAAAAATCAGCAGATCAGAGGTAATAGTGGGTAAATTCATTTCAGTGAGTAGGTACAGCTTTGCACAGTGCAGTCAATAAATCCCAACACAACAGGATGCAGGAGTTTTACATCTCTCACAGTCCTTACTGCAAAGCTGTCTGACATTCATATCATGTTGAAAATGCCCTAGTGAGGGCACTCCAGTGTGTTCTGGACGATAAAACACCTAATTTCCCTGTTTTTGATTACATCCATCTATGGGAGCTCTTTGTCTTTAACCTACTGCAACTTTAATGTTTTTCCTACTGCTTAACAACCTGCTGAAACAAGATACAACTGAGAAAAATGTGTGACATAGATCCTGAATGTATTTGAAAATGTTTGCCTTCTGTCTTCATAAGGCTAGAGGGCATGGAGTTAATTTCCAGATTTGTTTCTGAATGTTTAAATGCTAGATTTATACATTTATGATCTGTTCTTGTGGTTAAGCCTCCTTTTTCCCATTCAAGTCTGAGATAAAACTACAGTTGAGTTTAGAAGGAATAAAATCATCAATTAAACTGGAAAATAAGGTTTTTCTTACTATTCAAAATGTTTTTCTTTCTCTTTCTTACAGAGGATGTGTTTCTCCTAGAGACAGACAACCCCAGAACAACGCTCGTGTATGGAATTTTTACAACATCAAGGTAAACATGGAGATTTGAACAAAATTACCTGAACTGCTGAAATTTCTGTATGAAAGCTGAAACTGATATTTTGTGGGTGAGCCACAGCCACAGCAATTCTGTGTGTCTGCCGTGGCTGTGGTTTGCATGCAGGAGTCTCAGCATCATTGCTGTTGGTATCTATGTCAGAGCTGTGCTTCTTGGAGCAAACTGTTCCTGACATGCTGTCAGCTGCCACTGGGAAAGCATTTCCGTGGAGGGCCACTTGTCACTGCTCAGCCGTGGAAAGCTAAAATGACTTCACTGCAGTGAGCCCATGTGGCAGCTCAGAGCGCTTAACACCTCCTGAAGAACATCCAGCACCCTGAAGGATCAAACCAGGACATCTTACATGAATTCATACAAATCATTTCCAGTCTCTCAGCTGGCTGATGATCACAGAGATGGCAAATAAACATATTGGCTTCAGTTGGATACAAAAGGACAAGCTTGTGTGGCATCTGGTCACCTCCTTGCAGCTCCCTGTTTCCAGTCAGTTGTATTCACTTACTGTCTTCTTTAGAAAGTATTTACTGAGATCCCAAGGGTGGTGGAAGCACCTAGTTATGGCTTACTGTGCTGAAACTCTCCACAGAGATAGAGATGGAAGAATCTGTCAGTCTACCTTTATTTTTCTTATTTTTCCTCTTGCCCTCACTGCATAGTATTAACAAAGAGTAAAATTGGTTACTATCCCCTGATTTCTGATATGCTACCCTTTATTATTTAGCTGTTATGTCACGTTCAAAGAAGTCTTCTGGGGTTTTTTTTAATTTTAATTCCTTTAATTCCTTAATTTTAATTCCTTTTTAATATTATTAATTCCTTTAATGACAATTTTTTGTATAAAAGTCCTTTCCACTTCTTTTTCTCCAAGACTTTTTTCACTGGGATACAGGGGTCTGCTTACTCAAATGTGTAAATATGATAGGAGAATATGATTCTATGATATTTAATTGGGAAAAAAAAACCCCATTATATAAGTTGTAAACTTAGGTGCTATCTGTAATTCCTACATCACAAAAGGAGGAAGGGATGAGCTTATGTGTAGTAGAAAAACCACACTTATCATTAGGTTGTAGGTGACTGAACTGTAAATACTTCTGCCTAATTCTGGTATTTGTCAGTGGAAATAAGATTTGAATCACAGGAACATATAAGGTGACAAAAAAGAGAAACTCACTTTTTCCTGGCTCTCAAGCTGTTTTCTCTCTCTACTGCATTTTTTACACTTGGATTGGTCTATTCTTGCTTTATTTGTGTTCAGCTATAGGTTGAATATAATAAATACAGAAACCATAAGGATTTTTACTCCCTAATAGTTCCTGTGTCTTCATCTCTGTAGACTTCCAACTCATAACAGTAGCAAGAGAGAAACATCACAGGAAGTAATAACTACTAGTATTTTTATCTAAATCATACAAAAGGAAATAGATTAATACTGAGCTAAATTATTTTAGTGTCATAATATGCTGTAAATCTAACATAAAACATCTGGAAAGACTAAATGCATTTCTCAAAATCTATTAATACCTAGCAAAATTTACACAAATACTATAATCCATCTAAAAGGTTCATTCTGCTAATCCATATATAGCTGAGAGCAATGTGGATTTCACTTCTATTGTTTAGACACTTTGTGTAATGTTTTCAGGCTTTTTTCTGGAGTGTTTTTTCTTCTTCAATTGAAAACAGTTACTTGGATTGTCTTCATCCTACAGCTAACATTAGGCAGATTTTAGACTTGTCTGGAGTGTCTATTTTTTAAAAATAAATACCACAAAGCTTGCATGCAGCAAGAGGAAAAACGAGAGAGTTTTATCACTATAGTCAGCCTTAGTATCAATCTGGAAAATTTTCCCCTAGTGCCCTTCATCATCATGAGGTGATGGAGACCATTCAGGGCTTGTGCTACCTGGACCCATGGCTGAATCTGCAGTGGGAAGAACATGCCCACTTTTTCCTTAGCTGAATCCCTGGGTTCTCCTCAGGAAGCTTCAACCTTAGGGCTTCATAAGACCAGTTTTATGGATGGATTTGAGGACTGTATAGGAGTAATTCCTTTACAGCCACATCTTGTCCCCATTTTTTGCAAAACAAGCTGGAAACTGATTATAATAATCCAAACAATTGTAATTGCTCTGGATGTTTTGATTAATATTTTAGCCATGTATTTTAAGAGGCTCATGGAGATCTTGTGGTTAATATACTGGTAGGAGTTCTGGAAACCTGTGCTGAGCTTGGCAGTACAAAGTTTATAAAACTCCTGCCTCACTGAAGTCAGCAATATTTTTGCCATTGATTTAAGTGGAGCCAGATTATATTTCTTCTATATTTAGCATTAGGAAATCTTCCTTTTGCACCAGTAGGGTAGTGCCTGCCTCTCTCTTTTTTCAGTTCACTGTTCAGAAAGGTGCTAAGTCTTAAGAAGTAGTGGTGCATCTTGGGCTGCTAGATTAGTTGGTTTAAAATGTTTTAAATCCATATAAAAGCAATAAATTGTATACAATATTATGTTAGAGGTATCTTTCATCATTGGACCACAAAAAATTCTGGAAAAGCTGTAAAAAACTTGGTAGATTGCAATGCTAACTTTCTCTTGTCTTCCAGCTCCATATTCAAAGGCTCAGCTGTGTGTGTGTATCATCTGTCTGACATCCAGACTGTGTTCAATGGACCATTTGCACACAAAGAGGGCCCAAACCACCAGCTCATTCCATATCAGGGCAGAATTCCGTACCCACGACCTGGCACCGTAAGTGCAAAGATGTTTATTCAGTCTTGCCAATTGCTTGTCCTTGTTTAATGCATAAATAAATATTATTTACTCCAGGAGAAAAGTCTGTATGTGACTGTGACAGTTACAATTCAGGACTATTTTATTTGCTTTTCAGTTGCCTGCAAATCCAACTGCAAATCATGTCCCATCTGGATGTCTTCTAGAAAGAATTAAAAGTCATGTAAAATGTTAGTTGTTCTTTCTCTTTCTGCTTCATTAGGTGATAGTTCCCTTGTTTGCATGCACATTTCCATTTTGTGGGTACATTTGTGCAAAATGTAGCTAAATAAAGAAGCATGCAAAGACAGCATTGTTAGTGTGTTCCACAGCCTGGATCCAAATGTCTGTAGGTCTGTCTTGTGTCTCTGTGAATTTTCTTTAGTTTTCTAGAATCTTGCGCCTCTACTCAGATGCTTAGGAGATGTAGTAGGAGATATAGAGAACAAAGTTTCTGGGACTTGTCACTTGACTGAGTCATACCATGCCAAGTTCTGAATCTTAGAAGAGAGACCTAGAAATAAAAGCATTTTCTTGCTATGCAGTTCACCATCATCTTCCTTGTAAGAATGCTAAATTCTGTACACAATTAGAGCTAGCCCTGTTTCCAAGTTGTTTAAAAGTATCTCATTAAATGTTTAAACAAAACTATTGTTTCTTCTTACTTTTCAATTCATGATGTATACAAATTGCTGTTAATGCACTTTTTTCTTTATTTACTTATATACGAGTTGCTGTTAATGCACTTTTTCCTTTATTTACTTACCTTTTTTAACTATTCTTAATTTATATGTAGCAAAAATGTAACATCTGATACTTCAAGCTTTAATGAAGAATGTGTGAACTTTCTCTAGAATGATCTCTGAATCCATATTTGCTAAATGAAGTATGGTTGTGTGGGTGTGTGTTGACTCCTATGAAGTCTTACAGTTTCTCAAGTATCAGAACAAAATAAATATGCAGAGAATCATAAATTATTTCTCAACAATATGGTTATATTTTTTTAGATTAACACTTTGGTGCTTTTCCATTCATCACAGGAAATTAAATTTTATTTTAATTTTGCCAGTCCCCATGGGAACCTTTAACCATATCACTATTTCAGTCTGATTTGTCTTTATGCTGCAAAATCTTGTTCTTTTTCTTTCTTTCTCTCTCATACATAGAATAGCTCAGATACATGGAATAGCTCTCCCTGTTCACACAATCCCTGTTCACACAATTCTTCGTGACATTTTAATGCATTTGCTGCTGGCTATAAGAGTTCGGACTTTACATTCCCAGATCTCTAGAATTAACTAATCAATACTTGACATTCCACTAAGGTCTAATGCTAGCATTAGTCTTTCCTTGCAATTAATTAGTATTGTTCTAATCTCAAGAGTGCACTGAGGCTTTAGAAAAAAGACCCATTTAAACATGAAGTTTCACACTCTTGTGATTAGTCACATTTCAGTTTCTTGCTGCTTCAGAGTGTTTTGTTTGTATGTCTTTCCTCAACCACTGCCATGTTTATTTTGGTTCACCTCATGGAGGCTTCTGAGGTATTCCAGATTGGCCTAAAGAAATTGGGCAAGACAACAGAAAGGAGAAAAAAAATCAGATATGGATTTAACATGGTGACAGCAATTATGTACACTTTCCAGATGTGCCGATGAGCTCTGAATTGGAAGATAAATTCTTAGATCATAGCTCATAGAGATTCCTTTAGATGACCGTTGCTCAATGCTCAATTTTGGATCACTGGCTTTTGTGTTTCCTCATGATTCAGCCACAACAGAGTATCCCTAAGTCATATTTTCTAAGATGAAATTTCTTTGGCGTTGCTTTTATTTCACTGCCAAAAAAAATTCCGCTTTTCAATGTGTGCCACAAACTTTATTTTTCACTTATACCAAATCGGGACATGGGGATTTTTCACTGCTGAGAATTTGTGCTCAAAGAGTTAAAATGATTAGCCAAGTTTGCAGTCTGTGGGGCTTGATCTTCTTTTCTCTGGAATGTACTTTTTTTGTAACTTCTGGGATGCTGGGCTAGACAGGGGTGCCTTTTTATATGACATGGAAAGTCCTACTTTGCAGTTTCCTAAAGAGATATTCATACTAAACCTCTGGGTAGAAGTGAAAGTTCATCATGTTGCAGGACACTGGATAAACAATGGAAAGGCTTCAGTGTAGCTTCAGTAGGATTAAATGAAGCAATACGTTCTTTTGGCCATGATCAACTCAGCAGTGTTTGGCTGGCCTTCACTAAATACCAGTGGTTTCTTATTTCTCCACAAGCAAAACTTACTTATGGAAAAAGAAATACATAATTGGCAGCTTGCTACTAAACTCAGTGATGTTTGAGGGTAGTTTCCATTTTTCAGAGTTTACAGAAGTAGTTTTTGTACCTACAGCATATTGGAGAATATGCTGTAAATTAAAGAATTCTGATAATCAGGTGTGACAAGTTGTGTAGACAAGTTCTTGAATAAGCTGTGAAGGATGCCTATTCAATCCCTGCTGGAAAGGGAGAGCTTATGGGTTTCTTCAATATCATCTTTTTCTTGTCAGTGGTTTAGCAAAAGAATTAATTGATTAAACATGTTTGTTAAAGCTTTGCTCGGAACAATGATATCATGTAAGTTTTTAGGGTCATGCTGGTGTGAATCATAGCACAGACATTTTTGCAATAAGTCACAGACAAAAGTCTTATGACTCCAACTCAATAATGGAAGGGTTGAAAGTATCAGAGAAAGACTTCTAATTGAGCTATGTGAGACAGGAAAGTTTAAGTTGAACTGTTTGTGAAACAGAATCCCTCTTGAAAGGAACTGAGGTCTGGCAGAGCACTACCAAGTAGAATAATATTGCTAATGATGAATGCAGTTCTTTTTTAGGCATTTATTGCTAATCTTAACAGATACTTCCATACATTTTCTGGAATGTGGATGAATATGCCAGAGAGGATAGAGCAAGCAAGATAATAAGAATTGAACTTTGTGAGCAATCCTGGAGCATTAACATAGAGCATGGTTTCTAATGCGAGCCAAAACAAAACCCTTAGGATAAATATGAGCCCAGAAAAATAAATCAGCAGGGGTGTCAGATGAGAGAAACAACCCATGTCTGATCTGAGTTCTGGTTCTTCTTCCTGGAGGGCACTGATGCCGGAGCAATTTCTTTTGAAGAGCTCCTACCAGAGCTGTTCTGCTTTGTATAAATAATTAACTCCCGATTGAGCCAGAAGATGACTCTAAAGCCTGTGACTAGGCTGAAGTCCCCTCTCTCATTGTTTCCTGGTATGCCCAATGAATACTTTATTGGGTGCACAATATGGAACAGCCTTTAGCAGTGAGGGTAGAACAGGCACTCCTGCCTGTGGTTACGGGGATGCCCTGGGAGGTGAAAACCCAAATTCTAACACTGCAGCTCATCAGGTGGCTTGGACACATGACTCACATATCCCCAGAGAGATTCCATCTCAGAATATGATTCATTTTGTGTTATTTTAGCCATCTAAAAGCAGGGTGTTCAGTCTGAATTACTGACTACAGAGGAAACCTAAGAATAAATGACTGACTTTAAGAGAGTAGGAGTCAGGTGAGGTAAATCTCTCCCTAAGCTACTGGCTATTTTGTGTCTGTGGTTTTGACCAGAAATTCCATCTTAGATGTAAGAACGGCCCTCATCAAAATAAACAAATTTCCTTCAAGTGCTTTTTATTGAACAAATCATTTTCCAGTTGGAAAAATACTGTGTTGAAACACTTCTGAATATCTCCAGTACTCTGAGGAGAGTTTCACAGCTCAGAAATACAGTAAGGGGAAAAAATGGAAGCTCAAGAGCAGCAATAAGAAGTGAGATACTGGTAGCTGAGAGAAAAACCCAAGTAAATTAGCATAAGTACATGGCGGACTTTGTACCAATTACTGACATAGCTCTGATTTCTTCACAGTTTCTTTTTAGTTTCAAACTCAGTAAAGAGTTGAGTTTTCTAAGATGGCTTTTATTTTCTCATGAGGCTCAAAATGCCTCAGGGATGATTATTTGGATGGTTCTTCATGATATTTAAAGAAGCATCCAAAGTATTCATGGACTTCAGATACTTCTAAGGCATAGGGGAATGTATAGACAACCTTTTCAGATATAAATAAGTTGTTATGGGACTCCCTCATCAACTCCATCTTGTTTCTCTTTCAAATGAAGATGAGTTGCGGGCCCTTTCATCATCTTATAATCAACAAAATGACAAGAGGAATATTGGCCAAATTGCAATTAAGTATCAGATTTTGTTTTCTGCCTTTGAACTAATTCTGTGAAAAAAACAGATGCAAAAGTTTGGTATCTTCCCGTCCCAACCTCTTGGATTTTTTTTTCAACAGGCAGTTCAGAATCATAAAACATGTAGAAATAGGCTCAGAAGTACAGATCTTTGCCATCAAGCTGGATTTTGAAAGTGCAAAACTACAGTTTGGTTTGTTTTATCAGAAGTGATGAGAGTTCAAAGTGTAGCTATTCAACACTTCATTCCCCTTACTGGAATATAGTACGTTTTGGCCCAAGTCTGAAGCACTTTTTTGGGGAATTTCCTTTGTCAACTCTCTGTCCATATTTGTAAATGATCTGGAGATGAAAACTCTCTGAAATGTGATAAGTAGTGTTCATCATTACTGTGCATGTTTCTTGCAGTGTCCAGGAGGAGCCTTCACGCCCAATGTGCGGACAACCAAAGAGTTTCCAGACGATGTTGTGACCTTCATTAGGAACCACCCTTTGATGTTTAATCCCATTTACCCAATACACAAGAGGCCATTAATCATCAGGATAGGAGCTGACTACAAGTACACAAAGATTGCTGTGGATCGAGTGAATGCTGCTGATGGGAGATACCACGTCCTGTTTCTTGGAACAGGTAAGACAAATTTGGCAGCATTCATTTTCCTCTGTTGCAGTGTTGCAATCAACTCTGATTTTTACAATTTATAGCTTTCAGAAATATTTGTTTAAATGTTTGCAATCTACAGAAATGTTATAAAAATCCATTAATCCTCTTTACTTTCTGTGTATTTTTCTTTTTGCTATAGACATCATTATGTGCAAGTGGTACAATGTATTGATCTTAATTTTGAGACAAAAACAACACTGGTATATATTTTATTGGATCCCTCTTGAGTGTGATTGTCTGCAATATGATTCAACATTAGATTTTGATAATCTGTAATGTAAGAAAAAAATAACAAAATCTAGCTTTATCATTTTTTTATACTCTCATCATCATTATTTAATATATGCTGTGTAAGCTACTTCTGAAGGAAAGCACAATCTGATCAAGATGTTGCAAAGGCAGAAACAACTCTTCCAGAAAACAGTAGTAATATGGAAGTACTTAGCAGAGAAAAAGAAACAAATGGTTGCAGTCCTAGCAGTAGTGGACACAGAGAACTTGGTCCAAGTATTCCAAAACAATTTCTGTCTAATATTATGTATATTTTGTTTTTTACTTACATCAAATTTGAATCTGGTGGTATGTGTCTGAAGTCTGCAGGGAACAGGTTAAATGATTCTTGTACTGATCAATTTAGATTTTTTTTAAATATTCTGGCATGAATCACACCCTTTAGATTGAAGCAGGCAGGTAGAGTGGTACTCTGACAAGACCCTAGGACTCACTCACATCTAGAACTCCCACTGGTTTAACAGGGCATTAGAGGTCAATAGGCACAAAGGCTAATCTTTTTTACTTTTTTTACTTTCAAGTAGAACAAAGGAAAAGAACTCTAGGAGAACAAATATATGTCTGAACATCAGAAAATGATTACAGAGATGACTTGCATTGCTTTTGTGGTTCACATGTTATTGGGGCCCTGATTGTTTTCTGCTTGTAGAATAGCTGTGTCTGCCAACAAACTCACATGGGGATGGGAATAACCATATTGTTGTGTTGCATTTAGGAAGCGGGTGCTAAAAAAGCTGTTAAGAATTTCAGGCTTCTATGGGGAAAGGATTAAAAGTAATTCTCTTCACTCTACTTAGAAAAACCTCTTCAGCAGGTTGCCTGTGTGCCAAAGGAGGCCAAGTGCACACTGTGCTGTGTGTGCAGAGGTGTATCCAGCAAACAGGTTGATAGAAAAGATTTTTTTCCTGTATTTGGCTCCTGTTTTGGGTACTGTGCCCAGCTGAGGGCTCACCAGTATAAAGAAAACATTGACCTAATGGAGCAAGATCACTTGAGGGACGGTATGATGTGATGTTTGAGAAAAAGCTGAAAAATGGGTTTATCAGGGAAAGCTAAGGAGAGACCCTAATGCTGTTGACAGCTATCAAATGGGTGGGTACAACTACCTAGTGGGGAAAAAACAGATGGGGACTCTTCTCAAGGTGCTCAGTGCCAAGGTGAGGGATTTCACACAAGTTGCAGCGTGGGACAGTGCTAATAGATATAGAGGAAAAAGCTTTTGCCATCACCATGATCAAACAGTGGAAAAAGGATCCAGAGAGGTTATGAATTCTCCATCTTCAGAGACTCAAAACATTCAAAATCCAACAAACACAGCATTGAGCAGCCTGCTGTAGTAGGACTTGCTTTGAGTGTGGGACTGCACCAGATGTCTTCTACAGGCTACAGGTTTCTGCAGTTCAGTGAAAGGAAAACAAAAGCACTTAATTCATTAGTTTAGTTATGGATGGAGAAAATTAAAAGGACTAAAGCCCAGCAAGAACTCAATCTGGTTACTGCTGTAAAAGGCAATAAAAATGTTTCTATAAATAAATTAGCAGTAAAAAGAGAGTTAAGGAGAATTTCCATCCTTTACTGGAAACAGTGAAAAGGCTGAAGTACTTAATGCCTTCTTTGCCTCAGTCTTTAGCAGCAAGTCCAGTTCTGCAGGCTCCCAGCCCTTGAGTTGGAAGACAGGAATAAGAAGCAGAATGAAGCTTCCATGACGCAAGGAGAAGTGGTCAGTGACCTGCTACACCCCTTAGACGCACAGGAGTCCTTGGGGCTGGATGGGATCCACCCAAGGATACTGAGGGACCTGGCAGAGTGTTCTCCAAGCCACTTTCCATCGTTTAGCAGCAGTCCTGGCAAACTGGGGAGGACCAGCTGATTGGAAGTTATGTGATGCCCATCCACAAGGAGAGCCACAAGGAGGATGTGGGGAACTACAGGCCTGCCAAGCTGACCTCATGGCTGGGGAAACTTGTGGAGCAGATCATCTTGAGTGCCATCACATGGCGGGTGCAGGACAACCAGGGGCCAGACCCAGCCAGCAGGGGTTTGTGAAAGGCAGGTCCTGCCTGACCAGCCTGAGCTCCTTCTGTCACTGAGTGACTCACACAGGGGGTGAGGGAAAGGCTCTGGGTGTTGTTTACCTGGACTTCAGCAAAGCCTTTGACAGCCTTTCCCACAGCATTCTCCTGGAGAAACCAGCTGGTCATGGCCTGGGTGGGAGCACTGCTCACTGGGATAAACTGGCTGACAGCTGGGCCCAGAGAGGGGTGGTGAATGGAGTTACATCCAGCTGGTGGCTGGTCCCAGATGGTGTTCCTTCAGGTCTTTCCCAGCCTAAAGAATTCTATGATTCCATGTTTTTCCCCCAAACCTTTACCAAGTGTCCGTCTGATGCCGAGTGAATGTTTAGTATGTGATAAGGCATAGTCAAGGCAATGAATTATTCAGAGAATTTAGTAAGTTTTTAATCTGGATATTTTTGTTTTCTTGACTGGAAACTGATAAATGAGTTTTAGGGTATTCTTGACTCTCTCCTATCTGCAGCTGTTGGAAAATACTAAACCTAATTAGGACAGAGTTTTCTACAAGGTGGGTTCTTCCTCTCCTTTCCCTCTCCCCACCACTAACATAAACCCACATTTTCTCTTTAGTTTAATTAATGCAGATACAATTTTTGACTTTGTGAGCTGTTAGGATATTTTTTTTTTTCTCCTTTCCTGCAGAAGTCTTCTACTATAGAAATATCAGAAGTGTTGATAGAGAGCATCCTGCTCTTGTTACACAACTGCAGAAGAAAACTTGGTAAAAGAGAAGTTTTACTTTACTATTAATTTTCTTCCTTGACTAGTAGGCTAGTACAACTCTTTCAAATGAACATTTTATTTTTTTTTCCAATGTATTGTGGTGCTTAGTGGAAAAGACTGAGACATAAGTTCCCAGACCATATAAATTGCTAATGTAGCAGTGATAGTTAAAGCTGGAAAACTATTGAAAAGCTGAAATGTCCTTGAAATCACAATTTGGTAGTAAGCATTTTAATAACTCTGGAAGAGGTAAACATAGGTAATTTCATTTTATCCTTTGATGACCATCTGACTCTTTGTAGGTGATGAATGTGGCCTCGTACACACACGTGATCTGTTAAAAACTGAACATAGCTCACGTTGTTCTTATGTTAATCTCCTCTGTGTACCAGCACAGGACCCATCATGGATCAGACACAGAAAGTGCAGCTCTTGATACTATATATTCATTGCTTTATCTTCTTCATTACACTGGAGACAAGGATCATTTTCTGCTTTCTAGTGAGATGGAGGGCAGGCATTATTCTTCCTGAGCAGGGCACAGGACATTCATACCTTCCAAGGTCTTCCTCCAAGGAAATCGTTGCAATGCAAGTTACTGCATTTCCCAGCCCTTTAAAATAAAAGTGATCAAGTTTCAGCCACTGAGAGGAGAAACTTGTTTTCTTTATTCTCTGCTTTCTGTGAGACTCAGGAGGATTTGATAGAGATATTAAGTGTCAAAAGGAATGCAGAGGGGATTTGCTTTGGTGTCAGTTCATCCCAGCAAATGCAAAAACCACATTGTATAGGAGAATTTCTTGTTATAATTTCCTAGGGAGCCTGGAGCCCCACAGCCCGAGACAATGGGTCTTGACACCTGGTGACAATTACATTCAGCTCAAATGATGAGTTACTGCTGCTGAACTGAGATGTTTCCAGCCATGTCTGTCACTGTCAGTGACCTGTCTCATGCTTGAAATCGGAGTGTTTTATGTCCTGCCAGATGCAAAGCACACAAAATGTTTATCTTTGCCTCTCTTCCTCCTCTATAGCCTTAGTAATAAATCAGTTCCTGAATGCAAGTGAGGAATAACAGAAGTACAGAGCTCCAACAGCCCCAGTGGTTTCCATCATGTAGCCATGGCACAGGAGGGCATAGGCAGCTCTGTAATTTTTTCACCTTGGTGTGAACTAAATGTAGTGTTCCCTTTGCTCCCCCAGACAGAAGTGCTGTGCTCACTCTGGGGCTGCTCCAGACCCAGAATTAATGCACTGGTTTTTGTCCCTTGCTTACCTGCATAGCAAACAAAATAAATCCAGGAACAGACATCGTTCATGTGGCATTCCATGCTTTTCAAACTATTACAATCTCCCATTTTTCCTCTGATTTTAAACACGAAGACTCTCAAAGCTTCTTAGATTTGTTTGGTCTCCACTAAGGGATCTCTCCACCCCTGACTGGCGTGAGCTGACTTGGAGTAAGGAGCAAGTCTGGACTGGTAGAGAGCAGTGCTGCAACAGAAGAGTGTTATCTACCTACCTTGTCTTCCCAAACAGAAACCCAAGAGATAATTTACTTGGAAAGAATATAATCACTCATTTGCATATTTGACTAGAGTAATTCTGATGGTATTTTTTCCCTATGCAATGAGAAATAACATATTCAGTTCAAGAATTTGGGATTAGAGTTCTGTTTCAATTATTTCATTTCTGTGATGGGGCAGGACTCAGTTCTGAATTTTTTTGATTCACCCTAGAGTTCTACTGTAATTTGTTTACTCCTTTCAGCTATATCTAAAGAACCTGAGCTTTCAAAATTTTGTGTTCATCCTTTGGTAGATTGTTTTCTAGCTGAGTTTTAAGACAGCAGTAAAACACCATGAGAACATATTTGTG